CCTCCTCCCTCCACTCAGCTTTTACTGTGCACTGAAATCTCCCTTTCTAATCCCAGCACAAAGGCTCACTGGCTGTAAACCAATCCCTGCCCCCGGTTTTGGCGCCACAAACCTCCGCGCCCGCCAAATATGCTAATGCACGCTAGCTTTGTTCCCGAGGAGCCAATCATTAACGAGCGTGTGTGCACAGTGCTCATTTACAGAAGCGGTTAATGATCCACTCCTTTGTCGGTTCCCTACCCACCTCGGCTAGCAAGGCACTTTTTTTAACCTTTTTTTCAAATAAAAATAAATAAAAAAAATAATGGAAAAGACTAGGAAATTACTTTCTTTGAAAATAAAAATAAATAAATAAATAAATAATAAAAAAAGACTTGGAAGCCATTAAAAAAAAAAGAATAAATAAATATAAAAAAGACTAGGAAGCCACTTTTTTTTCAAATGAAAATAAATAAATAAAAAATACTAGGAAGTAGCTGAAACAAATTTTTTAAAAATAAAAATAGATAAATAAAAAATAAAAAAGACCTTTTTTTGTTCGCCCAAAAAAAGGGAATTAGTTCACGTAAAATGGATTTATCTCCTCACCTTTGGGGCACTCGCAGTGGAAGGAGTTGATCTTGTCGACGCATTTTCCGTTGTTGAGGCAGGGCTGGCTGGCGCACTCGTCCGTGTTGATGTGGCAGAAAACACCCTCGTATCCTAAAAAACAAAAGGTCCGAGGGTCAAATCCCGCCTGGCAGATGATCAAAGGCTCACGCAGACAAATGCGTTGTAGACCTCCTGGATTTTTTTGTTAGAGATTTTTCAAAATGGGCCCAAAATGGTGGTTAAAAAAAGGGTGTTGCTCTCTCTAAAATAAGCTCCCGAGTCCAAATCTCAAAGCCGAGCGGGTCGTAAAGAGAGACGCTCCCTGAACCACTGAGCCACTCTGAATCGTTTAGGGAAAAACTTTATCTTTCTTTTTTTTCATTGTTATTTGTTTGAAACGATGTTAAATGTTGTACTGGATGCATTCACTTTTCGGGTGAACCAGGTGGGCAGAAGCAGGGGAAACCTGCAGGCCGGGTGGCCCACCGACGACTAGGAAGCCACTTTTTTTTAAATTATAAATAAATAAATAAATATTAAAAAAGACTAGGAAGCCACTTTTTTTTCAAATAAAAATAAATAAATAAAAAATAAAAAAGACTAGGAAGTCACTTTTTTTCAATTAAAATAAATAGATAAAAAATAAAAAAGACTTGGAAGCCACTTAAAAAAATAAAAATATTTAAAAAAAAATAAAAAAAAGATTCGGAAGCCACTTCGTAAAAAAAATTAAAAATAAAAAATAAATAAAGATTCGGAAGCCACTTCTTAAAATTTTTTTTTTTAAATAAAAAAAAAAAAAAAAAGACTAGGAAACCACTTCAAACTTTAGCATTAGCACGCTTTATCTAAACGTCCCAAACGTTCGAGGCTAAGCTAAAACCCGCTAATACCCGGCATGCAGATGCAGTGGAAGCCTCCGATCTGGTCCAGGCAGGTGGCGTCGTTGTGGCAGGGGCTGGACATGCACTCGTTCACGTCCATCTCACACCGCGGGCCCTCGTAACCCTGGAGACACTTGCACTGGAACGAGCCTTTGGTGTTCAGGCAGCGCCCGCCGTGCTCGCAGGGGTTGGCTCCTGATTGGTCGGAGGGAAGATCTGGTTAAGAACATATCAATGCAGACTGCAGGAAGCCAAGGATGGATATCCGACTCCGCCCACAGCAAAGTCGGACATTTCGATTAGGTCACCAATAGGAAGATCCCAGGCAAGAAAATCCTAATTGCTTCATGGCAATATAGACATGAATTTAAAATAGTGAAATTAATCTTTCAAAGAAATTAATCTTGCTAACCCTAACCCGAACACTGAATTAAACTCTATACATAATATTATGTTAAAATAGTGGATGTTAAATAGGTTTGTACAATAAGTCCAAACAAGTTTAACCAAAAAATATTTATTTCTCACAATTATGAAGGGTGGAGGGTTAGGGTCAGGGATTGGGTTAGGGCTAGGGTTAGGGTCAGGTTTAGGGTGGAGGGTTAGGTTTAGGGTTAGGGTTAGGTTTAGGGTCAGGGTTAGGTTTAGGTTTAGAGTTAGGGTGGAGGGTTAGGGTCAGGGTTAGGTTTAGGTTTAGGTTTAGGGTTAGGGTGGAGGTTTAGGGTTAGTGTCAGGGTTAGGGTGGAGGGTTAGGTTTAAGGGTCAGGTTTAGTATAACATTTAAGTTTAGGGTTGAGGGTTAGGGTTAGGTTTAGGGTTAGGGTTAGGTTTAGGGTCAGGGTTAGGTTTGGGTTTAGGTTTAGGTTTAGGGTTAGGGTGGAGGGTTAGGTTTAAAGGTCAGTATAACATTTAGGTTTAGGGTTGAGGGTTAGGATTACGTTTAGGGTCAGGGTCAGGGTTAGGTTTAGGGTTAGTCAGTGTCATGGTTAGGATTAGGACATCCTTTATATTCGGATTTCTTATCAACAGTAAACTTTCGTTTCCTCCTCAGAAATCTTCTCGTCACATAACCTAACCAAAATGGCCGACTTGGATGTGGGAGGGGAGTTGGGTAAAAAGCGATTCACTCACCCAGCGAGCACTCGTCTATGTCCAGGCTGCAGGCGGTGCCGGTGTACCCGGGGGGGCAGGTGCAGATGGCCTTTCCGTTGACCGGGTTGGTGTCGCAGTTGGAGCCTTTCTGACACGGGTTGCTGATGCAGGCGTCGTCCAGGTGACACAGCAGGCCTAAAAAACCCCCCCCGGGTTACAAAATGGACTCATCCGGACATCCACCCCCCCCAGAGAGCCTTTAGATCAACCGTTCAGAGCCGGTTTTAGCCATCCCCCCCATCTGTGTATTAACTTATTGACCTATATATATACATATAGTTTTTTATGTATATATCTATCTATATTATATGAGG